TTCTTCTTTTTTTTTTTTTTTTTTTTTCCGAGTTTCTTAAGTAACATCTATTTATATTATTGCATATTTAGTCTGCAGAAGTAAACAGATATAATAAAATTAAAGAAGAGGGAGGCGCAATATATTTGTTTCAACTTACGTAGTTACCGAACATGCCCTAATCAAGAGCCAAAGGCATTCAAATATGTTATGGATTTGGGTTGGTTATTCAAGATTAACTTGAGAGTTTAATAAACCAACGGCTGAAAATTAGCTTTTTTCTTTTAAGAAAGTAAGACCCAGTTTGGGAGTAATTTTTCACCTCCAAAAAATGATTTTTTAACCGTTATTTCACTTTTTCATCCGTAATTTTTTTACTCATTCTCTCACAGGTGGCCACCATTTTTCTTCCAACAGTTAAAAAATCAATTTTTAAAATCACTACCGAACAGTTATCAAACCCTATTAATCAAACAACTTCCTCAAGCTTAGTTGAAATATGAGTTGACAAATTTTTCCAATTTTACATCAAACAAGATTATCGAAAGCTAAGGGTTGAGATTTTTTCTATAAATATGCTCTAGAATCGATGAATGGCCTAAATTCCACTCAATTTTTCTCTAAAAATAGGTATCCATTCCCTCTTCTAGTATTAATGTGTTCATTTGCGATAGTAACTTAAAAATACGATAATTTGAATTTATATACACAATATTCTTAATGTAACTTGAGTTCTTGAGGAAACTTCAACACCAATTATTGCAGTTATCGAGAGTAGTTGTTGAAAACAAAAGATTAAGCACGTTATTATGGTCTATGGCTTCGCTTCTTCCTTGTCTAATCTTATGGTCTAAAGTACTTGCAAACAAATAGGACAAAAATCAGTTGACTAATCGTACAAAAATATATTGTTATCATTATATTATTTTTAGATCGTCGTTGTTGTTTACTGCAGCCCAAAGACAAAATGGGAGGGCAATCGAAACCCCGAACTTGAATCGAAATTAGTCTAATCTATATTGGACTGTCTATGAGGATCAGCATAGTCGACTCGATTTATTAAAAAAAATTGTGCTATTATGGATGTGTTAGTGGCGTTATTATTTAATAATATGGGAATCTTATATTCGTGTTCAAGGCGTAGGATGCAAACTAAACTTGTACGGTAAAGCATTCTTTTTTCTTCATGAATACACTAGGAAATATATACCAAATCAAATTCTACTTCAGTATTCTTCAAGTTATAGTTTTTCTAATCTCTATGCATGTGATGTGACATTACATTCTGTAATTCAACATTTTCAATAGGATAGAGGAAACTATCGAAATATGTTTCGTACCCTAGAGACCCTCCGCTTCCCCCGGGGGAGGAGAAACATGTGTAAAATTGGGGATGATGTTATTCGCTTATTTGATTTATATTTTATAATTTTCAAAAAATATTGAATATGTTAGAAATGAATTGGCTATTATTATTATTATTATGGTATGCAATAATGTATCTCTTTATTTAAGTGGAAGAGATTATATTAAGCCGCTAGACTTTATGTTTATACCCAAATAATATACATAATACTCTACATTTACAAATAGGTCTGGACAAAAAAATCAAAATTCCGAGCAAACCAATCAAATCAAACCGATTCGGGTCATCTAGTCGGTCTGGATCATGATTTGAAGTCTCAAACCGCTGGTTAATCGAACCAACTCAATCCACTTATATGTTTACCTTTTTTTAAAAAAAATGAAAATAAAAAAATAAGTTCTAATCTCATAACTATGTCATGATTCCTTTCAATTTATGATATTGCCGATAAGTAATAGTACTCAAAATTTTCGTTTATGAGCTCATTATGTTATACTTAGTCTTTTTCCCTACAGTCAAGGTACATAATGT